TTGTCAACAGCACAAACTCCCCTCAGCTGCCTGCACCCTTCCCCGCCCCCCCCCCCACAGCATGCTGGTGGGGCGACCCCAAATCCAGGTTAAGCGCCACACGTCTGGGGACAGAGAGGAGCCCATTTCGCTGGGGCTTTTGTCCCCTGATACATCCCAGCGGCACCCGGATGCTGACCCACAGGAAGACACCTGCAGTGACACCGACAGAACCAAAAGGGAGCCGTCCAGAAACTCGCGTTCACGGTGCACGGGTGCCTGGGCTCTGCACTGCGGCGTGTGTCGACACAGAGTTTTAGGCCCCTCCCTCCTCCCCCGGCCCCTCCTGGCCTGGTTTCTAACTGGTCTTCCAAGTTCGTTCACTACACCCCACCTTCCAGGAGCACCCCAAACTCTGCCTGGACCCCCCCATAACACGCCGGTGCCTGCAGAACTACACACCTTGAGATATACACATATATACACATGTATTCTTTTTCCGCCTTGGGACCTGTCGGCCTTACCGAAAAGAGCCTGCAGAGTTGACCGTGCCATCAGGCGTCGTGGCTGGTCCATGTGGACGCCGCCTGCCCTTGGTCATTCTCTGTGGCAGGGCCTGTCCCGTGCCTGGCAGCAGGTGGAGGAGCCCCGAAAAGGCCAGGGGCACCCCCCTCCCCCACCCCCAGCCTACAACCACCAAAAATGTCTCGATACACTGCCATATGCTCTTTAACAGCAGGAACCCGAACTGCCCACCCAGCATCCATCGCTGACGGCCAAACTCCAGAGTTCAACACGGAGAGTACGGTCCCGATGCTCACCCATCTCCTCCACCTTGCCCTTCTAAGACACACCCCTGCCTTTCAAGGCTTGCGCTGGGCGCTGCGTCTCCACCTGCTATGAACCACGCAAAGCAAAGGAACCGAGACGCAGGCAAACTGCCTCTCCCGCCGGAACGCTACATTTGTTGCAACCTAGCGTTTTCACGGCTGCCAGTGCAGCCGGATTCTGCATCAATATTTGAACACAGCGATGAGGCCGCCGCCTTCCTGAACACCCGGGTCTTCAGTCACAGCAGCCGCCCGGAGAGAGCACAACCTCCATGGCTGCCTGCCCCTCTGGGGACGGCAAACTCTTTCTCACGCTGGGCCCTCCCTGTGCATCACAAACATGCGGACTGTGGGCGTCCCTTCCCACACCCAGCTCTCGATTGGGTCTCGGTGGCTCCCCTCCGGCCGCCGTGGCCAGCGCGCTGCCCTCAGTCAACCCCAGGGAAAGCAGGGCGAGGACAAGACGGACGAGGGGGGGCAGGACCTGAGGGGACAGTCACATCCAGTCTCCGCTCCCAGGCCAGGGACCTCCTTCCCGCTAAAATTAGTTACGGAAAAAAAAAAGTTTATCTCTCTCACTTAAAAAAAAAAATGGGTTTACAAAACGGACCGGAGTCTTGCTTCCGGATTGAAACTATTTTTAACATGTCTTTGGGGGTGAAATGTTCACTTCTCTCGGATGGAGTGTCTTTTTTTTTTTTTCCCTGCGAATTCCTGACGCTCCTTAGGGAACCTTCGAGACAGGGTCCCTCCCGGCCTGACCGCCCTCGGCAGGGACCCTCCCCCACCCCCGGAGCGGAACCGCCTGCAGCCCAGGGGTTCCCACCCTTCAGCCCAAGGTCCCCCGCCGTCCCAAGGGGCAGCAAAAGGAGGCACAAACGGCCCAGGAGCCGTCTGGGAAGTCGCCCCGAGAACAGACACGGAAGGGGGTCGTTCCCTCTTCTTCCTCGTGGACAAAGACAATCTGTCACCTGTCGCCCAAAAAACAAAACCAGGGCAAAGGTAATAAAAAATAACGCCCTGACTCGGGCTCCCAGTAGATGGGAAACAGAGAGCGCTCAGCCATTTAAGAAAAACAAAAAACAGCCCTGGCTGGTGTAGCTCAGTGGACGGAGCGCGGGCTGCAAACCAAAGTGTAGCAGGTTCGATTCCCAGTCGGGACACATGCCTGGGTTGCAGGCCACGACCCCCAGCAACCGCACACTGATGTTTCTCTCTCTCTTTTTCCCTCCCTTCCCTCTCTAAAAATATATATAAATAAAATCTTGAAAAAGAAAAACACAAACAAACAAAAAAACAAAAAAACCCCTGTGACTCTTGGGAAGTCTCGCTTTGTCGGAAGGACGCCTCGTCAGCAGTTGTGCACAAAAGACTTGGACTCCCAGTGACTGAACCGTAATACGTTGAACCTAAACTTCCAGGGCGGAGGGGAGCCCTGGGGGGGGTCCACGACAAGCAAGGACCAAAACGCAGCAGCGGCCTGAGCCTCCCGGCCCCCTGCACGGGCCTCAAGGATGGGGACTGCCGGGGCTCTGACCCTCCCAAGCCACACTCACCACCTGCTCAGGCAGGCACTCGGGGACCGACGGCGCCATTTTCCAGGTGGGGGAAACCGAGGCACGGAGACACGAAAGGCCTTGCCCGAGGAGAAGCGGTCAGTGGCGGACTCCAGCAGAGAGGTCTGGTTTTGGGATTCAACATTACGGCAAAGCACCTCGCCCACCCTGCCCACACGACCACAGCCGACCACTTCGGGTGACAAGTTCCTTCACTGAAATCGCTTTCCAGGGTAAAGTCACTGGCTGAAATTCAGGGTGCTTGTGATTTTTTTTTTCAGGTCCACCTGTACAGTATTTCAATCTTTGATGACCTGCCCCTGCCCCCATCAAAACTGTTTTCTTTTTATTTTTTTAGTCATCACCTGAGAACATGTTTACAGATTTTTAGAGAGGAAGAGAGAAACATGGACTGACTGTGTTGCCACAGACGCGCTGAGCAGGGATCGAACCCGCAGCCTTCCGGTGTACGGGACAGCGCTCCAACCAACCGAGCCACCCACGGGGCCAGGGCTGCTACATTGTATCCCTTCAGCAATGTACGTATCCCTGCAGCGCCAACAGAGTAGCACCCGCCCACAGCGCTTTCTGTAAGTTCTGTGCTACCCCACACTGCACCGTGCAACGCGGGCGTTACAGCTCCAACCACCGGAAGGACGGAATGGTTCGTGTTGCTGAATCTCAGACAACTTCAATCCAAAGACACGCCCGCGGTCAGTGGCTCCCACGCAGGGCGACCACGCCAGACGGGGACACAACCACTCGGCTGTGGGAAGCACTTCCCAACTGTGTTCAGAGGCGTCTGCATGCACACGCAGACTTCAACGGACATGCGCGTGTACTTTAATAAAGAGCTTTGGCCTCCAGACGGGAAAATTCACACTGGGGCGTCGGGCGGGCGAGATAAGGCCGGGCTGAAGAGCCGGGCTCCGGGAGGGAGAAGATCCTCCGGCCACTCCGGCTGGCCGCTGTGGCTGTGCAGGCACCAGCAGGCCGCTTAGGCACCTTTCGGCACCCGGCAGACCCGCTGCAGAGAGGAAACCATCCTTGTTTCCCACAGGGCGTCCGTGCCCGTCAATTCCTCGGGGCGCGGCATTGCAGTGCCCACGAGAGCGACAACAGCGAAAACGGACAGGCGCCTCTGTAGTTTTCCGAAACTTTCCCGGACACTCACGGCCTCCTCACGGCGCCCCAGTGGGGACCTCGCCTTCGGCTGTCTCCCCTTGCCTTTTCGCAGACGCAGAACACGGCCCTCGGAAAGGGGCGGGACTTCAAGGTCAAAGTGGAGGATGGATGAGCAGTCTGTCTTCCGCCGGCTCAGGTCCAAGGCGGGAGGGCGCAGGCTGGTTGGCTGGCCCAGTGTCACCTGGCAAAATGGACTTGGACTCGGGGGACCCTACTGGCCACCCAGGGCGGGAGGGGGGTTCCCTAAAACTCTCCCGACAACCCTGGGGACAGACTCAGGATGGTATCACCCAGGTGTCGACGGAACAGCAGCTCCCGCAGACGGAGCTCCACAAAGACACCAGGCCCGCAAAGACGCTACCCACACGCGCACAACCCCTATCCAAACGCCCAGACTTCCCGCAGGGATCAGGTTCGGGAGAATTACCAACGCACTTGTGATATTTAAGCGGCGGTGCTCGTCACACGTGGATAAACGCACAGCGCCAGCCCGCCTCAGCGCAGTGAGACGCGCCCTGCTCTTGGGGGCGGGGCCCCGCCCCGGGCCCCACCGGCCCTTCCCTGAGCGAGCCCCGCTTCCCACCTGGTGTCCTGCGGGCCCGGCCGAGTCCCTGGGTGTGTTTGTTCCCCAATATCTACCTACCCGTCCCGAGAAAACGCAAGGGACTGCCTCCCTGAGCCGCCGACGTATGCCATCATGCCACCAAAACGACGGACGAAACGACCCAAAATTCTGAGATATTCGCTTTCCGGCATCTGCATAAGGCAGATGCGAGCGTCACTATTAGTATCTCTTCTTTGCCGCGACTGGCAGCAGAAACCGCTGAGCCCGCCGAGGGGGGCCAAACCCGCACCACCGGATAGAAGACACCAAAGCTCTCCCTTTCTGCCACAGGCGGTGTGCGTGCGCGCACCAGCTGCGATCCCCTCGAGGGGCCGGTTTTCGTAACTGGGTCACGGGCTGAACTTCCAGTTCTCTCCTGATGAGCTTACCCAGCGAGGTGGTTTTCCACTAAAATCTGCAGCTCATTTGACACATGAACGTCTTTCAAAATTAAAACAAAACAAAACAAAACATCATCTTAAGGTCTTCATGGCTCCATACTCCACATTCTTTGTTTTTTTTTATTTTCCCCCCTCCCTCATCGCATCTTTTCGAGGAATGACTCAATGGTAAACTTTTCATAAAATCCTCACTGGCATTCATGCCCCGAGGCCAAGGCTTGGGACCCCCCCAGCCCAGCGCCCCCCTCCCTCTGAGTCCCGAGTCCCGCCTCCGGGTTAAACCAGGGATTCGCGCGCGGGGCGCGTCAGGAGAGAAAAGCACCCACAAGTCAGGTCAAGTCACATGGGACCATGCAAAGCAGCCACAGTTGCAGCTGCGAGAGGGGGCTGCGTTTTTTTTGTTTCTTTGGGGGGTTCTGCTCCACTGGGGGCGGGGGGAGGCACCTCCGACTTGAATTCAACTTTCTGGAACTTCCAGTGCACTTGGGTGAGAGACACAACGCGAGGCCGTGCAGGGAGCGAGCCCGGGCCGGGGGCAGACCTAGCACAGGCGAAGCACGTGAAGCAGCGCAGGCCCCATCCCAGCGCGGGCGGGCCTCTGCCGACCCCCAAGTGTCACACACCCCGCGGCCACAGACACCCCCGAAGACGCACCCCCTGCCAGCTCCGAGCACTGGGCCCCAGCGCTTGAAGTCCCCGAGGTAGGAGGGGCCCGGGAAACGGATCTGGGGGTCACCCCTCCCCCGAGCCCGCGAGCAACAGGTCCGCACCCTGCGCGGCCGCGCCAGAACAGGGGCGCCCCCCCCCCATGCGCCAAGGTCGCGCCCCGCCCGGTCCCTGCGCTCGGGCACGGGGGCTCCCGACTTCCTTGACAGTTTCTGCGCCCCGGAAACAGAGCAGCCGCCGGGCCTCGCTCTGCGCTCCACCGCGCGCGGCCGCGCAGCAGCGGCCGCTGGGTCCGGGGCGGGCCGGCCGGCGCCCAGGGATGAATGGGGCTCCCCTCCCCCACGGGGGCGCCCGCGGCGCAGCCGATTCGCCCCACCAGCCCCAGGGGCGGCAGACAAAGAAGACCGGGGGGGGCAGATCCAGGGCCTCCCCAAACTTACCAGCCGCCTCCCCTCCCCAAAACAAAGGAGCGCCCCCCCCCCAGCCTCCGCCCGCGCCCCTCGCGCCGGCACTTTGGGGAGCGGCCACATTGGGGTATTGTTCAGCTCGCAGGGAGCGCGCCGCACCCCCGCCCAAGCCCCGGCGACAGTTGGGGACCTGCCCCTCCAGAGCCCCGGCGGCGGGCGGAGCGTTCGCGCGCCCTCCGCCGCCGGCCGGGCCCCCCCACCGCCCGAGAAGTTTGCGCCCCCGGCCCCGCGCCCTCCCGCCCACCCGGCCCCTCGCACTCACCTCGCCGCAGGCAGGGCAACTTGTGGGGCGCCGCCGCGCCCGAGCCTCCCTCCGGTCGGCCGTCGCCGAGCCGGGCCGAGCCGCGGCCGAGGAGGGCCCGGCGCCCCGGAGCAGCAGCAGCGTGCTGCCCCTGGGCCGCCCCCGCCCCGCCGCCGCCGAGTCCCGAGAGGCGCGGGCGCTGGAAAGTTTCGGTGCCGAATGGCGGCCGAGGCGCTGCGGCGGCGGCGGCGGCGGCGGCGGGGCGGGGGCGCTGGCGGCTTCTCGCTCCCGAGCGCGGAGAGTGTGGCGGGGGGGGCCGGGGCGGGAGCAGCGGCAGCGGCGACAGAGGGCGGGACGGCGGGCGGGAGGGACGGGCACCGGCAGTGACCTCCGGGGGGAGCGGCCGCCGCCAGAGCGCCGACCCCGGCCGGGAGGACTGCCGAGGGGGCGGCCTCGGCCGCCCCGGCCCGCCCCTCCCCCACCCCCCCCCTCGGAGAGGGGCCCCCTGCGTCCCAGTCGGCCCCTCCCCTGCGCCCCGGGGGACCATGTCCCAAATCAGCCACTCCCCCACGGAGGATAGGGACCCCCAGGCCTGCCCCTCCCCCCCCAGCGACAGGGAAGGGAATCCGCGCCCCAGCACGGCCCCTCCCCCAAGGCCTGTGGGGAGGATCCGGGTCCCAATCCAGCCCCTCTCCAAACCTAGGGAACCTGCGACCCTGCCCAGCCCCTCACCCCACGCTCGCTCCTGCCCCCCGCCGCCTAGGATGGGTGCGGGGAAGGCTGTCCCTTCCCGTGGTCTCCGGGGGGCAGGAAGGCAACGTGGGCCTACCCCCACCCAGTCCCAAACCCAGCCTTTTCCCCCCCACTTTCCCGAGGGGACCGGAACCCGGGCCGCCCCCTCCCCCAAGGTTCCCATAGGACCCGGGAACGCGGGCCAGCCCTGGAGTGTTAGCCCCCCTCCCCCACCTCAAAGAAAAAGCCGCCCCAGTGCCCTAACAAACCCCCCGAAACCCGGCCTGGGGGGCAGGGGGGGTGGGGGGGACGCCTTCCCAATCGGCGGCCTTGAGGACACCCCGATGGCCTCTCCCCCTCCCCCTGAAGTGGGGGCCCCCACGTTTGCAAAACACCTCCTGGTTGGAGCCAGCAGTGCTTGTGGAGACGGAAACTGAGGCACGACGCAGGCGGGTGGAGGCGAGGAGCTGGGGTTTGGGGGCTGCCGGGGATTGGGGGGAACCTCCCCCCGCCCTCTTGCCCCCCGCCACCCCCCCACAGGTTTCAGACCTCGGGCGTTTCGAAAGCGTGTTTGTGTTGCAATGGCCGACTCGGCCCAGCCCTGGAGCGCCCGGGTCCCCAGCGTCCCTTCCTCCCTTCCAGCACCGGGACAACGACCCCCCCCCAGGTGGCCTCGGCTCAATGAAACAGATATCCGCGCCCCCGCCCCCACCACCTTTGGAGTCGGCTTTGTTGCATATTTTAGAGAAGTGGGCCCCCCTCCCCTGGGTGTAGAATAAGCTTCGCGTTCAGAGCCCAGGACACTCAGCATTTCAGACTGTAACCTCACTTGCTCTTTTTTTTTTCTGGGACACTGAAGCATTTGTTGTTCTTGGGGCTCGGCTTGGGGGGGGGGGTCCCGAGGTGAGTTTGCGAAGGGGCTGGCCCTCCCTCAGAAAGGCCGACCTGACAACTCCCCTGCCACAGGCGGCTGTACGACGTCAAGGCTGCAGCGCGACGGTCGCCACACCAGGATGATAGAGCACATCCATAAACACACACACACACACACACACACACTTACACAGTCTCCATACTTGTGAATCAGCAGAATAGATTGTGTCTTATCACCTATCGGTTGCCATTCGAGGCCCCCCCCCCCAGAGGACGTGGCGGGGGGCCTTCCCCGGAGCCTGCCCTTCGTCGCTCCCAGGCTCCCTGCGCTGGAGCGGGCGGACGCCGAGAGGTAGGCCAGGCCACCGAAAAAACCGAGGGTGCAACGGAAAGCCCGAGCGAGCTCATGATGCAACCCTGCCCCGGTTACACGTGCTTCCCTTCCCCCCCACCCCACCCCCCCACCGCCGGCTGAGGGCAGCGCCGCGTTTTTTCCGCCTGTAGGGTCACATTGTGGTTGATTGATTCTCCTTTCGCCTTGCTCAGTCATTCAGATTTGGAAAGTAAATAACAAGTTGACAGCAATACAGCTTTCGGCTTTACCCGGACGCGGCTCTCTGCTACCGCACACTCTCGAGTAGCCGCGCAGCTAAAAAAATTAAAACACACACACACACACACACACACACACACACACACACACAACTGGCCCAGTGGGCCTGCCAGCCCTGCTCAACGTTAAGAGGCTTGGAAATTGCGAAGTGTACTTGCTTTAAGGCCTCTTTGTTTGTTTTGATTACTTGGCAGACGCAGGTGACTTAAAGGGTGGGAAAATGATGGAACTCGTCCCTCCAGATTGCGGCTGTTCGTCAAGGAACTGAGCAGGTGAGCTCCGACTCTGTCTGGCCTGTTTGAAAATGTCCCGAGAATCCCGCGGGTCTTCTCGCCCATTAGGGGAACACGGGCTCACCCACACCGTGTCCTGGAGCTTCCAGCCTCGGGGATTGTGAGGACGTCGGTTTCTGTCGTTTAAACCGCCCACTGGGTGGTGCTTTGCCGAGGCAGCCTCCACCCAGGAGACTAAGGCAGGGGGAGTTGTTCCTGTGCTTTTCCCTTTGGAATGTCCTGTTCCCTTCACATCAGTGGACACTGCAGGCACCTTGCAGGTGGCATGCGGGTGTTCAGGCACAGCGTTGACCTTGACCCCCCCAGTAATACGGGAGGGCAGGCGCTTTCACCTCCGATACTCAGAGCAGACTGGCCCCAAGTGCTTACAAATAGTGAGGGACGGGCTTTGTGGCCATCGCTGGGCCTAACACCTTCTTGGGCAATGTAGGGGCTCTTGTCTCTAAATGCATAAAAAGATGCTCCCCCCCCAAATCCCTCCCCACCAATATGTAAAATAATACACAGGATCCCACCAAACCCCAGCAGTGTCTACATAGTCATCCCCGTGTTCCCAGAAGTCCAGTGGGGTGAAGGCTGTGCTTCCCTTTCGGCACCTCCTGCGCTGAGCTCCGGAGGTGATTCTGGTAACTCCTGCCTCTGCGGAGGGAGGACGCGCGGCCGGCACAGGGCCCGCTGCAGCTGTGACCTGCTCTGAACAGCGCGTCCCACTTCTGCCGGGGACCCACTGGTAACAAAGTAAAGAGACCGTGAGTGCCGCCGCCTGTCATTCTCCGTGTGCGTGGTTGTCCCAAACGCCGCTTTCCAGTTAGGGGTTCGTGGCCGCACAGCTGCGGGGTCTCCCCAAGCACGTTCACGCACCTCCGCCCCCTGCCCCCCCAATCCCTGCTGGGGGGCGCGGAGACCTTCCTGCTGAGGGGGCTGGAACCCGTGGTCCTTCACTGGTGACCGCCGTGTCACAGCAGTGAGGTGGCTGAGGCAGCGAGCTTCCCCAGATCATCACTCCCGGTCCCTCTGCGGCCTCTTGCAGACAGACAGTGCGCTGGCCCGGGTTTCTAGGGGATGGCTGCTCACGTAGGTCGTTCACTTCGTCCTAGGACACTTTGGGGGCTCCCAGGGCAGAGATGCCTGGGCACTCCGGCCATCACCCGCTCAGGGAGGGTCCAGGCCACCAGGAGACTGTTCTGACGGGAGCAGACGCTGCTGAGCCAAGGCCGAAGTGAAGGGATAGTAACTACGTGCCTCCTCTGCAGCACAGTTTCCTGCCGGTCGCCTACACGTTCGCCAAGATGACCTCCCCTGTCGTCATAGCAACCTCGGAAGGGGTGGAGGAGATGCAGGGTGATCATCCTCGTTTTGCACAGGAGGGAGGTTGAGCCCCAGAGAGTCTGGACTGTGGGGGGGCCCCAGATGACCGCAAGCTCACTGATGATGCTCCAGACCATGCCTTCTCTGCCCGCTCCGAGGTCAGAGCTCCCACGGGGTCTCGCAGGACTTCGATGAGTCGGGCCTGCGTTCCCTGGCAGTGGTTGGTCCATTCCCACAGCCCCCTATTCCTGCCTGCTCCTCTCCCGCCCGCTTCTTCCGCTCTCCCGCGGTTACACTGGGCCGACCGTGCGGTCCGGTACCATCTCCCCACCGCAAGGTTCAGAATCTAGTCACGACTTCGAAGTCCCTGCCGCCACCGGGGAAGGTGGCCTCGCAGCTTCCAGGGCACCCAGCTGTGGGTGTGTGCAGGGGCTGCATGCTGCCCCCGGCACGGGCCTGGTAGGGTGCCTGATCCCCGAAGGGGGCACGTGCCACGCAAATCCAGCTGGGAAAACCGTGCGCTTCCAGCAGGACATCATTGCTCTGCCCGGGGAAATAATCTCAGAGTTCGTCCGCCCCGCAGCACCCCAAAACACGGCAGCAAATGCTGCCTGCCTTCACCCCAAGTGCAGGGAGGGGGGGAAGAGTCCCAGTTTCCCCCGAATAACACACGGCTGTCTAGCTACAAAATAACAGGAGGTTACAATTTTCACAGGCCGTCCCTTCCCCTCTCTCTTCGGACACGAACTGTATTTCACACTGCGAGAAGTGAAGTGATTTTTTTCTCCTCCCTTTGCGTTCTGCTTGTGCATTTCGTGCTTAAGGCTCACCTTCCGGAGGGAGCCAGGAGAAGGGGAATGATCTTCACGAAGCGTTGTTGCACAAGGTCGTCTCTCACATGGGCGGCTCCCTGCCGCCGTGACAGAGAGAGAATCCAGCAGGTTCGAGAGAAGCACAGGTGAGCCCTGGCCGGGCAGCTCACTTGGTGAGAGCGCAGTCTTGATGCGCCCAGGTTTCGGGTTCGATCCCCAGTCCGGGCACATGCACAAATCAGCCAGTGGGTGCATGAACAGGTGGGACAACAAATGATCCCTCTCTCTCTTTCTCTCTCTCCCTCCCTTCCCTCCTAAAAAAGAAAAATGCAGATGAACGTTTGCATTTTCCTCTGATGCCCATGTCCTAAAGCCTTTTTGATGCCGTTGTTACGAAATGAGCAGCCCCCGTAAGGTCACATGTATGTCGTGGGCAAATCCACCCCAGCAATCCCCTTCCTACGTACACGCCCGAGAGAAATGAGAGGAGAGGCCCACGCAAGCATCTGTCAGCACACGGCTTTATTCCCGCTCCACAGAACCCGGGCACACCGCAGGGGACACGGAGGCGGGGCAGGTGAAGGCACCCCGGTCAGTGCAGACAGCGGGGCTCGGACAGCCCCCACAAGGAGCAGGCCTGCGACCTGGGCAGAGTCAGGGATGGACCTCCAAGGTCAACCGCAAAGTCAGAGCAGCTGACTCAAGGCGCAGCCTGCTCTGGGGTTCCATGTACCTGGGTGTGCTGAAAACGGCCAGACTTCCGGGGCCCAACGCGGATCCCTGGATGCCGGGGCTGGGCGTCAGGTGCGAGTTTGACTGTAGAGGGGGCATTTTTTGGGGTGATCGCACTGTTCCATGCCCTGACTCGGGGCCTCTGAACGTTGGGCAGAACCTGTGGAAGTCAACTCCAAAAAAGTGAACATTACCGTGTGTAAATTATACCTCAATAAATGTGACTTAAAAAAAATAAAAATGAGCCCTGGCTGGCGTAGCTCAGTGATTGAGCGCGGGCTGCAAACCAAAGCATTGCAGGTTCGACTCCCAGTCAGGGCACATGCCTGGGTTGCAGGCCACGGCCCCCAGCAACCGCACATGGATGTTTCTCTCTCTCTTTCTCCCTCCCCTCTCTAGAAATAAATAAATAAAATCTTTTAAAAAAAGGAAAAGCTAGCAGATTCGGGGCACACACTGGGATACGGAAAGGAATTCCCTCTGCAAGGACTTCCTTTATTGGCTGTCATTTTTACAAGACCACAGCCGTCTGCTATAAGATCAGTTATGTGGGCAGGTCATGTACAAATCTTAAAAAGTCTCTGAGAGCCTTAGCTAGTGTGGCTCAGTGGACTGAGCATGGGCCTGCAAACCAAAAGGTCGCAGGTTCAATTCCCAGTCAGCAGACACATGCCTGGGTTGTGGGCCAGGTCCCCGGTGGGGGGTACAGGAGAGGCGACCACACATGGATGTTTCTCTCCCTCTCTTTCTCCCTCCCTCCCCCTCTCTCTAAAAGTAAATAAATAAAATCTTTAAAAGTAATAGCCATAATGTCACTGTCACAGGTACCGGGGCTCAGGGACTCAATATCTTTTTTTTGTTCCGTACGGGGGCGGGGAGACCCAGTTCAACCCACCGCACACACACGTTGATCTAGGTGTGGCCGAGAAGGCATTCTGCAGACTCGATAATCAGTGGGCCTGGAGCAAGGGAGGGGAGCCCGCGCCCTCTGGGCGGGCCTCGGGAGGTCAGGGAGAGGGCCTTCCGAGCAGGGCTGAGATGCCCTGGAAAATGAAGAAACTTCTCCAGCGCCGGCATTTTCAGCCTTTACATTCCACACACTTCATCCTTGCCTCAATACAGCACCAGCCGGTTCCTTAGAGTAAATCTCTTAGTGTGCGTCTTCCCCCGGACGGACCCCAACTGCCTCATCACAACTGGGGAACAGCCTTGCTTTGGAGCTCACACACACACACACACACACACATGTGCGTGTGCATGGGATCCCAAAGCAGAATTTCTTGTCTCTGTGTAACACGGAATTGCGTGACAGTGTTCATGCTCTGCCTTAAATATCACTCAAAATATGGTCACGAAAATACCAAGTCATTTATAAAGAGAATTACAAATAAATTATGTTCAAAGCTTAATGATGAAAGGGGTAGGGATCATGCACACGGATTGTAGGGGGAGAGGAGGAAGGTATAAGGGGGTGAAATGGTAATGGAAAAAATAAAATAAAATAAAATAAAAACTGGTAGGGGGCCCTGGCTGGTATAGCTCAGTGGATTGAGCACCAGCCTGTGAACCAAAGGGTCGCCGGTTCGATTCCCAGTCAGGGCACATGCCTGGGTTTCAGACCAGGTCCCCAGTAGGGGGCGCTCCAGAGGCAACCACACATTGATGTTTTTCTCCTCTTTCCCCCTGCCTTCCGCTCTGTCTAAAAATAAATAAATCAAATCCTTAACAAAAGCAAATAAAAAGGGGGTACGGGAATGCGTGTGCCCATGCCATAGCTCACGTTTCTGAGCCACTAGGGGCCACACTTCTGAGCCACACTTCTTCTGACCTCACATTGTACACATCCCTGGACGGTAGTTTAGAGTGTCCCTCCAGGTGCCCCAGGAGCAACTCACAGTCGCCTGATTTGGGGCCTCACAGACATGCGCAAAAACTCCTTCACCGTTACCGTATCCCATGGGCTAGAAGCACACAGGGGCCCCGCCCACACTCTAGTGGAGGGACCCCACAAGGCCAGGCTTTCTGGGGGCTACCTGGGGGGGTGTCCCCCACACCCACGGCACTGGCTCCGAGGGCTTCTCTGTCCCCGACACGCCCATGGTGCAGCTGCTCATCCCGGAGGGAGATGGAAACCACCTCTGTCTGGGCTCCCTAGGGCAACACGAGCTTGATCGGGTGACCTCTCCAAGCCTGCAGCGTCCCTGCAGCTGGGCCAAAGGGGACTGGCCTGGCTGGGGGCAGCAGGAACTGGGGAGGCTCGGGAGCCCTTGGGGGGGGTGGACGCCGCCCCCCACTCCCACCCTGTCAGGCATGACTGGCGTTCAGTGCCCAGACCCCAGGGACCCGTGCCCGGCAGTGAAGCTGTGCCGGCTCTGAAAGCAGCGCAGAGCGGAAGAGGGGCCGCAGGTGGCGGTCCCAAAGGTCCGGCCTCTGCCCCTCCTGGCCGCAGCCCCATGCGTGGACTCGGGAGCCGCCCCGCCGAGCGAGCGCGGAGGTTCAGAGGGCCCCACGCCAGGCTGGGCAGGCACCCCACACGCGGTCGGGCCAGGCTGGGCAGGCACCCCACACGCGGTCGGGCCAAAGTCACCCGAGCCGGGTCTGAGTGTACCCAGGACCAACTCAATTATTTACAAGGAGGAAATCGGCCATCAGGTGCCGGCTGTTGCCCGTTGGGCAGGGCTGGTCAGCGGCCTCTTCCCTGGGCGGAGCGGGGCACGGACCGTCCAGCGTGAGGGCCTCCAAGGGGAGGGGTCACCCGGGCCGGGGCAGCTGCGCAGCCTGGCCACGGAGGGCGGGGGCGGAGGTTTCCGCGCCTCTGCCCTCTCCCCTCTCTCTCCCTTCTGGTTGCCTGCCTTCCCTCTGCCTCTCCTCTCCTCTCTGCTGCCTTTCACTCCTCTCTTCCTCCTTCCTCCCTCTCTTGGACTTTCTCTTTGTGTCACTTTCCCTTTCCTCCCCCTTCTTCCTCTCTTTTCCCCTTCCCCCTGCCTTCCTCCTCTTCCTCTTTCCTCCTCTTGTTCTTCCTCCTTCTGTCTTCTCTCTCCACCCCGAGGCCATTCTGTGTGGGTTGCAAACATGATTTCACATGCAATGCGCCCAGTTGCACGGGGGGCACCGTACATCAGTCCTGGACCGCCCGGGGCCGCACCTGAAGGCTGGGATGTGCCCACACTCCCCGGGGACACCCGCTGCAGGCAGGCTCAGAGGGCCCCAGCGGGCGTGGATCTCAGAGCGGCCCTGCCTGGCTCTGGCTGGCTGCACACCGGCCCCCATGCTCCAGGGGCCAGTCCTTGCAGGGAGGCAGGGCGGGGCGGCAGGGGGAACCTGGGTGGCCACAGCACCCTGATGGCCTAGCGGAGCCTCAGCACCACGGGCGGGGCTACTACTCCAGCCCCTGGCAGCCTGTGAAGGTCACACAGTTAGTTACTTTGTCCAAGAAGCTGGAGAAAGAACGTATCTTTCTGGAAGAGGTCAGTGAGACTGCACAAATGCTTTCAGGCAGACCTGTGTGCTGCTGCTGCTGCTGCTGCTGCTGCTGCTGGGGGCCGAGGGGGCCCATGGTGTGTGGCCACCTTGGCTGGCGCCCCTGCCAGCTCCGGTGGGGACGGAGGAGTGGAAGGACCAGCAGGGAACTCCGGGACTAGGAACTGGGCTCTGGCGGCCCATTGGGAAGGAGGGGACCAGTTGCCTGTCCCCAAGCACCCCAGTGCCACCCTCCTCTTCTTCGGCCCCTCCCTTCGTGGGTGCCCTAGGTGTGTGCACAGCAGGAAGACAGCCCGAGGTCGCCTGCACGGAGGCGCACCTCCTGGTTCTCGGCGTCCTGCTGGGGCCCAGCACAGGCGTGGTGGGGCGCCTGACTCCCGGTCCCAGAAGAACACTCAGCAAAGGGAAGCAGAGACTCCCAGTTCCACAGCAGGGCCTGGGAAGGGGAGGCGGTGCATCGGAAGGGAAGATTATATACAGCTGCAAAAGGACAAGAGGCGAGCTCCCTCTGTTTCATGCCAGCTCTTGCACACGTGGGACAAACGACAAAGGGTGTGGACAGAAAGACGGAAAGGGGGGTGAAGGCATTCCGAGGGAGTGCCCTGGCCAAGACCCTTGGGCTGGCGAACGGGGATACTATGCCTCCCACGGTCACTCACGAGGCAGGACTGGTGTTCGCCAAGTGGGCCCTGCAGGCCCTCACCCACGTCCACGCTCGGGGGCCGGCCGCACCGTCCCCCTCCCTCGAAGGTGACCGTCGAATCGGTCCCAGGTAGAACGGTGTTCTCATCCGGTCCTTCCCGCCCTCAGCCTGCTCCCTAAAGCACGTGCCGGCCTGTGAAGGATGCAGGTTCCCTATTTTACACCGGACCTCGGAGACTGGCCCCAGATGATCCTGGGACCCTGGGGGGCAGGACCAGCCACGGAGACCCCT